CCTGTCCCAGCCAGCCACACAGGGCCTTGTCCGGGCTTGCGGGGCACCCGGCCGGCTTGCCCGCCTCGCGCAGGGCCATGCCCTGTGCAGCACTGGCCACCCGGTGTGCCTTCGCCACAGCATCTGCTTTGCCACCTGAGCAAGCAGTGCCCGCTCCCTGCCAAGGCAGTTCCTCTTCCCCACAGTGGACTGAGGCCCATCCTTCCTGCCACCTGGTCCCCGCAGCTTTTCTGTGCAGCTCGCTTCGCTACTCGCTCCCAGAGCTCAGGAACGTGTGTCGTAGGTTCCACTCCCAGACGGTCTTCGACACTAGTGCTGGCAGCTGCGCTTACAGAGGAGCTCTGTGCTAATCTCTGTTCATCCTGAGGGTTGTGCCACTGCCAGGACTTGGGGCTCACACAGACCCAACCCATCTTGCAAATTAGATGCAATTCTTTTTGGGCCAAAGATAAATATATGAATAACTGGCCTGCACATTTAGAATTGGGTGTTGCATTATCTAGTAACGATGACAGTGGACTGAGAGACAGGACTTTTGGGTTCTCCAGTTCACTCAGCTGCTGTGGTTCTGAGACACTTTTAAGGAGTCTTGCTGAGTGGCATTCTTCATCAGTGGTGCAGTCGGAAGCCGTGCATTGTGTGTTACGCAGTGATCGCAACAGGGTTTCAAATGCAGTATCCTCCAGCTCACATCCATCTTATTCCAGTGATGGCGATGGCACAACTCCTTTGCTTTCAGTGGAGTTATACCAGCATGGAATTGGAATAGCCCAGTGAAGAATTTGGTATTTAATGTTTTGTGGCCTTCTTGACAAAATGTGAAAGCTCAGTTTATAGTATTTTAGCTTACTAGAGCTTTAGAGGCTATTCTAATGCTAAAATAATTCTTTCTTCTGAGTGACCTGTATTGCTCAGTGTGTTTTAAAGTACAGGAAAATGTCATGCATATTTATAAACAAAATTGCCAGCCTTTCTGGTTTACCTGTGTAAGTAATATCAGCCCTGCCTTTCAGCTGACTGCTAGTGTTTTATAGAAAGAGGAGTTCCTGACTG